GTCTATTTTGACAAGATATTTTTTAAAACCTTCTAACACCATCATCCCCCTAGAGCACTGAAACTAATATTTGCAGAAGTAACACTTCAAAAAATAATTATTTTAAATAGTCGAACGTTATGGAGTGCTTCGATTTAGCAACTGCTTCGAATATGGTGTCTCCACGGTTTATTCGAACTCGATTTCTTTCACAGAACCATCTTTGCGGCAAAGGCAACGCAGTAGGCCTGACCGTTTTGATGTTTGTGTCATATCTCAGATATGCTGCAAACATCAATGTTGACAAGAAAAATGATAAGGTCTTGTCTAATCTAATGATTTTCCAGGATGCTTTCTCGTACTGGTTGCGATTGTATTAGATTAGATTAGATTAGAATAGGTAAAAGGTAAAGGTATTGCAAAAGCCGTCATTTACCCTATTCCAAACCATTTTTTGTTTGTTAGAAAATTAGAACCACTCACCGCAGCGCTGGCAACGGATCACTTCGAAGTTTCTATATATTCTGTTTACCTTGCATGCAATATTGTTTGCGACTTAACGAGCAAGCTTGTTTTCCTCGAGAAGCCCGAGAGATGGCGTTACTGAGGGCCTATGTTTTGAAGGACTATGTTTTCAAGAAAAAAATATTCAAAGAGTTGCGACTGTTTGTCTGTGCTTGCACAGTGGACCAGAAATGCAAATTGGAAAGCAAACCCAATATCTCTTAAATGAAGCAAACCCATTTTCCAGAATTTGTAAGGAATTTCCTGATCTATTTTAAGTCTTAAAAAGTTATTTTATGTTTTAAGAATTGCGCTGAAGCTAAATGAAGATCTTCTATGAAGTTTCTTGAAATAAACCAAAGTTCCCATAACTTCAGAGAAGTTTCCCAAACTTGCATAAGGTTCCCAGTCCTAGATAGTTTTGTTACAAAGCACCCTAAGTTTCATCAAAATTCTTTGAAGCTCTTCAAAGTTCCACGAATTTATATTTCCTGAATTTTTCGACGTAGGACTACGTTTGTGATTTCTATATGGGGGTACACTTTGTGAAAACCGAAATGGAACATGTAACAAAATTATGAAAGATTTTGAACAATAATAACTCAGCTGCCCCTGGACCAATTGCATTAATTTTATCACCAATCGTTCAGAAATACTTCTACACATTATAGCAATGCTTACGACTGATGATTTTCAACAAGAAACTATTGAAAAAGTGGTAATGTCAAGCACTGTTCAATGTACAAATAAAAAGTGATAATGTTATCACTGTTTTCATGAAATAAACGTTCTTCCCAAACCCAGTCGTCATAATCGAGTACCACTTGGTTGCACATCATTCTGCTTTAGCCTGAAAATATATAAACATTTTCGCTTCGGTGAGCAGGCAGTAGAAGCATCAATAGCAGCAGTAGGAAGGTGATGGCAGGCTAGGTAGTCCACTCTTCTATCCAACAAGCAAAAATGACTAGTCGCGGCAAAGGAGGAAAAGATCTTGGTAAAGGAGGTGTTAAGCGTCATCGCAAGGTTCTTCGTGATAACCGCCATCTGTCGTCTGGTTCACCGTGGCGGTGTCAAACGTATCTCCGGTCTGATCTACGAGGTATGCTGAAGGTGTTCCTGGAAAATCTGATCCGTGATGCTGTCACCTACTCTGAACACGCAAAGCGTTAGTGGCCATGAATGTCATCTACGCTTTGAAGCGACAGAGACGCACTCTTTACGATTTCGGAGGTTAAATCATCATCAACTTTGGCAACAAAACGGTCTATTCAGAACATGCTTTACAGTAAAGAGTTGGAATAGAATTTATCTGTGCCTGTTTATCCATATTCAGAACCACATGCCCCCAACGACCACACAAAATGCTTCCCAGAGTTGTAATCTTGTAACCAAACTTGGAAGCGATTCTCTTCATCAACTTTCTCTTTGAAAAAGAATATTACAAATTTGGTACGCCTACAATTCAAAAACGGAAAAAGTTAAGCTAATAGATGATTTATCAATTAAAAGAAATAAATACTCTTCACATTTGCTCTGTCCACTAGCAGTCCTACGTCAAGTTTCCGTTCGTGCCCCTAGGCACAGACCCTTCTACTTTTTTATAATGTGTTTACTTTTCCAGGCTCATTTGGCGTAGCTTTGCGGAGCCGATATTCATTGTTTGGGTTACAAAATTACTTAAAACTAACGTTAGTAAAGCGGGGCCGATTACTCGCGGCTATCTCGAGGTTAGGGGTAACAAATTGTAACAAACGGATGGCAGGATAGGGATTGAGAACACAAGTTTTTTTTTCGAGATTTCTCTAACGGGCCGCAAAGGTTGTTTTCCTCGGGCCCTGAGGGATGCAGATGGCTTGGATCTAGCAACACAATGTAGGGTGCACGACCGAAGCACGTGGTCGATCTCGTGATAACCACTACCACAAGCGCACAAATTGCTGCCTGCGAGCCCGATTCGAAAGAAATGCGAATCTAACGAGCAGTGATTGGACATGAGCCTCGACATGACACGTATAAAGTCACGGCTCATGTCCAACCCTTTGAACCACGGCTTGTTCGACACCTGTGGGAGAATAGAATGTAACCATCTTCCCAGATCACTCTCATTCCATTTTTGTGGCCAGTTGGTGAGGACTTGCTGACGGGTAATTGAGAAAATTCCGCAAAGGCGATTTGTCGATCAAAAATATCGCCACTTTAGCCAACGAGTCCGCTTTCTCGTTACCCGGAATAGAGCAATGAGATGGGACCCAGACTAAAGTGATGGTATAGGAGCAGTTAGATAAAGAACTCAATTTAGCTCGGATTTCTGTCAGGAAATACGAGGAGGGCTAAATTTCATTATTGTTCTCTGAGTATCCAAAAAGTCCCTGAAATTTTATAAAATCTAATGCGATTAATGAACCGTCAACTGAAATTTCTCAAATTTCTGTGAAATTTCTCTAACTTTGACAGTACATTGCAGCCATATTTTTGAAGCTACAAGTGTCAAATTAGCTGTCATTTATTCAGTGTGTCTTGCTAAATTATAGTTATAGCGTCCAAAAGCACGTGCAAATGATAATATTGTTTTATCAAAGTACCGAGTCCTACCGAGAGGATTATTCGCAATAAGGTGATCAAATTCGAGGAAACTGGTTCGGTGAACGCTCAACCACCACCCGTACGTGAACGGAACGCAAGGTCTGCCGAGAATATCGCCGCTGTACGCGAAAGTGTGCAGTCGATTCCGCACCGCGCACAAGAACTGGGCCTCTTGCAGGCTTCAACTTGGCGAATTCTGCGTCGAGACTTGGGTTTGCACCATACAAGATCCAATTGACCCAGGAGCTCAAGGTTAACGATCATATCGCCGTGTTTGATTGGGTTTTGGAGCAGTTGGAAACAGACCCCGATTTTGCCCGAAAAATCTTCTTCAGCGACGAGGCCCATTTCTGGATGAACGGGCATGTGAACAAGCAGAATTGTCGAATTCGGGACAAGGCCAATCCACACGAGATCCACCAAGTGGCAATGCATCCCCAGAAAGTCACTATTTGGTGTGCATTTTGGGCCGGAGGCGTCATCGGTCCGTACTTCTTCGAAAACGACGCTGGCGAGGCCATCACCGTCAACGGAGAGCGCTACAGGTAGATGATTACCGACTTCTTCTGGTCTACCTGTTGGACGATATGGATGTGAACGATAAGTGGTTCCAACAGGACGGTGCAACGTGCCACACAGCGCAGGAAACAATCAATATTCTGCATGAGCGTTTTCCGGGCATGGCTATTTCGCGCGAAGGCGATGTCAACTGGCTACCAAGATCGTGTGATTTAACCCCGCTAGACTTTTCTTGTGAGGATATGTTACGTCACAGGTCTATGCCAATAAGCTGCGAACCAACGATGCCCTCCAAGCCAACATTACTCAAGTCATCAACGAGATTCAGCCCGATTTGTGCGAACGGAGTCATGGAAAATTGGAGCTGTCAGATGCACGCCACCAAGCGAAGCCGAGGCGACCATTTGAACGATGTCATATTCCATACATAATGGAATTGATAGGCCTTTCAATCGGAAAATAAATCTCGTCAACATCTCACACACAGTTTGTATTATTCAACTTTAAAGATATGAAACACCTAATGGGAAATCTTCACTAATTTTCTAAGAAGGTCTTTGAACTTCTGGGAAGACTCTGTTTTATTAAACCTGAAATATTGAATCTGAACACCTTCCCCCGCCCGAAAATTTTAAAAGTAGTGTTGAGACACGCTAAGAAATCTCGTCGATATCGTTAAAGTTTTTTTTTCTAAATGCACCTAGCATCCTTGGGTTGAATAATTCCCGCTTTATGTGAGAGTAAACAGGTATAATAGTGAAAATCTGTTACAATACCTCTTTCTTATTATGAGTAGCCTTATGTAACGTGATGAGGACATCGTAAAAGGGAAAGCCCAGGATTCTGGGGAATCGTTCGCCAGAATGAAGGATCACTGCGTCAATACCAGCTTTACCCTAAAACCGTATCAAATCTAAAAATCACATCCACATGCACTCCGTATCGAAGTCAACAGGCGCCTCTGGCGCCACTTGATCCACCCTCGAAATCACAGTCCAAACAAATCTCAACCCTCTTACCGAAATTTATGACCTCGCTGCTTGCCCCATCTCTGTTCGCCTTTTTTTTCGATAGGTTCACACGACAGACAACCACTCAAAAAAAAAACTGATGTCTCAAACCCAGAGAGAAGCCAGAGCAGTCAACGGTTTCAAGTGGTCCTAACCTTTATTGCCTCGAATATAGCATTACGATCAGCAATCAGCTTCTCGTCAATCTCTACAGCCCCCCTTCCTCAAGTGGAATACCCCTCCCAATGACCAATCTTCTCCGGAATGCCCGAATTTGTCCACATCGCTCTTGAAAACAGTCAAAATTAGTCCCGGTTATCTGGTAGATTACGAATACGACCATAAATCTGTCTACTACCGTCGGGCAATGGATTCGAATTGGTCTGCGCCATGATAACTTACTCGTACTTGTAGTCGTACTCGGTCGCTCCATAGTCCGGCGGAATCAGCTGCCAGCTGGAGTCGTAGTATTCGTCATATCCTGCTACAGAAGCGACCACCGTAGGGATCTGTCCACCGCTGGCACCGGAGGCGGAGGCACTACTATTGCACATATCTACCCCGGCCAGGAGGTTCCCGTTGTTCTCACCGAAGAGTGGATCACTTGAACTCAACAACGGTTTGGAGGGGACCCTCTCGATTAGCTATTCATTCATTCAATCGATTGCTCTCGCACTCACAAAAATCACTAATTGATAAGTCAAACCTCCGCGAGAACGACGACCGAAGGGGTAAGTGTTTATTTTGGCACTTGAAATTCGGAAGCATTCAAATGAGTACCGGAACCACTGACTGGATGGACTGACTAATTGCTCTGTGGGAAGAGACGGCTGGAACTGAATCCATCGACAACTATCACCTTACTGATCTTGGGCAATCGAAGGCACCTTCAATAGCGTGGGTACATTGTGCGGGTAAAAGCCATTATCTGTATCATCGACGGTAATCGGACGCGGGCCCCGGGCTGGTGCAGAAAGGGATGGACTGTGTTGTTGATATTATGATGTGGTTTATCAAACCCCAATAAGTCTCGCCTCGGGCCGGCAGGCAGTGCAGTTTTCTGATAACTATCGAGGTGCGTTCGGTGTTTGCACTATTGCGCTTCCTGAAGCCGTCGTTGTTTGATGAAATTGTGATTTTTATCGAAGCTGGCAGCTTGAGAAAAATAAAACTAGTATTAATTCGTTATAAAAAAGGTAGATTGTGACATCCGCATTAGCCAGTATTGCCAATTCGATAGAGATGGGAAAATAATGAACTGATAATGCTGAGCGAAGGGTATTATCGCTGCTGACGACCGGGCGGCTATCTTACTCTCCCTGGATTTCTGATATCAATAAGAACCAATTATCATTAATCGCGTGGCCAGACGAGTGGTGGTGGTGGCGGTGGGCGGTTGAGAGTTGCGTTGAGGTGGGACATTCTCGTGTAATCAATTGATTTATTGGTGGACATTGCGTATCGATTCAAGGATGGATGAGCATCAGTGCACGAACTATCGGCAATAAACAGTTCACCACTTCCACTGCGAGCGCCGTTGTTGCTGTAGTTGTCGATCACCGGTGTGTGCATTTTCTGTATAGGAAGACTGATAAGAACGAACGAAAGAAAAATGAAACGGCAATTGCAGGTGATTTTTCATCATGGGACTTGACGCGATTGGAGTTTCTTCTTTTAAGTTGCAATCAAAGTTTGTTCATAGGATTAAAAGTACTGACTAATCGATGCATCGTGATAGCAAAATGATTGCAATTTACTTGCAATAGTACACCTATAAGCTCAGTTTGAAATATATAATTTCCACAGTGTAATACTATTCTGGGTAAATCTTCTAAACTCCATTATACTTAAACGGAACCTAGTTTTTTTTAGGGTAGTGTTAATATTTACGACGTGCTGTGTGAATATCCCTACTGTACTGTCTGTTAAGCGAAATGATACTATTTGGTAAGGGAAGTCGAGAAAATTTCCAACCCGAAAGATTTTCTTAACTAGACTGAATTAGAATCTAACTCGCCGCTTCTGTTAGGTACGCTATTACCAAAGATATCTAATTAACAAGATATCCCACTAATCAATTCCTCACACAAGGCATATCACCTATATGTGATCGCAGTGCCATCTGTTGAGTGCACATTGAAACTGTTGGGAGTTCCCTGCCAACTTCACCACCTGGGTTCAATAACTGACAGGTGTCAGTATGATAGATGTCAATGCGGACGTTGATGATCAGCCGAGGAAAGAGGACGATATCATCCTTGAAGTCATCATCATTATATTGCGATACCAAGATTCTTACTTGTTTGTGATTGTTCCGATTTTCAATCATTACCACTTTAAACGCAACAGAAACACTTGAGAAAACAATCATCATGATGTGCTTGTAATATGTTTTGCTTTCGAGCGAAAGAGTTTCGAATATACCACCGGTATCAGTAAGATGCAAATCTCTAATAGTAATTGATGATTTTTTTGGAGGTGGTGCTCAGAAGAATCTTAATAAGCATAGAAGTAAACAAACGAAAAGCATTCACTCTCTCTAAAGAATTATTCCAATACCCCAGTCACTGGAAATGCAACGTATCGAAATCATTGCTAAACGTAATAAAATATGCCGTCTTCTTTAGCCAACTCAGCACGCATTCTATTCAAAAATTACATCGGAATAATCATTACTTTCCTATTTTATAACGTAGGAAGTATTGTCAACGCTTTGAAATCAAACGCAAACGGAAGTAGCCGAAGCTGAATGAAGACGATGAGTGATGACACCGCTTCGTGTTTTGATTTGCGCTGTACCGCCCGCTCAGTTGTGTGGGTTCGTACATGTATAGATGTTGGTGTGCGTGTTTTCTTCCACCGCTGCAGTTCAACGTTGTCTCGTCACAAACCGTTTGGCGCTGTTATCTGTCTCTAAAAAATCCAAAGAGTGAAGGGGGTCTGCTATTACCAAACCAGAGGCGGCTTCCGGATTGGAAATTTTCTCAATTTTCCTCGGCATTGAGTTTCATTTTATATTTCTTGCAAGGATTTCTTGAAAACAAAACAACTTTTTCACAAATGACCCATGAAAATCAACTTTTATGCCACCATCATGTTACAATTAGTTTGCTTGTTTTTTACAATCTTCGATTTTCAATCAATATTTCCTTAGATATAACTATATTTTGGTAAATTTAGTAATGAGCAAACATTTAACTGCGAAAATCATGAAATTAATCTCGGCCAAGCTCGATCTGAAGAATAACTTTTTTTTTTTCAATGTTAAATAATTAGTCAAATCGACATTTTACGAGGGCGGACTTATTTTTTTCGAAGTTTTCACGTACAATTCTACGTAAAATTTAATATGGCACTTAAAACTACGCCACTTAATGAGACCTATTGTAATACATTTGGATATTCAACAAGATTTTTATACCATCAGGTTCTATTTTAATTTTTTTAATAAGATCATAAATCCTTTTCCATCTTGATTGATGCTTTCCTAGTGAATTTAGCATGCGGCTAGGGGAAATGGCTCGGAAAGGGTTTTTATTGTTGCTAAATAGCTTTTATTGTAGCTTTCAAATGGTTCTCAATGCGTTCGTCATACAACCTTGAAGAGCTTCGAGAATACACCCTTTAGAACCTTCTCCAGGGTGGGCCAACTAGACATATTCTAGTCATGAGGTTTAGGTGGATGCATTAATGGCAAAATAGACTTGACCAGGGTTTGATGAATGTTGTTTTATAGTTGCTTTGTAGTATTTCATAAAACTTAAAATGTTACTTGGGGGGTGTCCTCAAGGAGGTGTTTTGTCACCCTTATTATGGTCACTTGTTGTTGATGATCTGCTCAATAAACTAGTGGAAGAAGGCTTCGAAGTTATTGGATTTGCTGATGACGTGGTCATAATAGTTCGAGGAAAATTTGATCACATCATCACAGATAGAATGCAATCTGCATTAAACTGCACATTTCAGTGGTGCCAAAATGAAGGGTTAAATATAAACCCATCCAAAACACTCCCGGTCACTCGCAGAAGACAAGTAACACTCAAAAGTTTGTCAATTAATGGATCTATTATAAAATACTCGTCAAACGTAAAGTATCTTTGAGTCATTCTAGATGATAAACTTAATTGGAACTTCCAGTTAGAGCAGGTAATAAGAAAAGCCACGAATGCCTCTGGGTTAGTAAAAAAACATTTGGAAAAAATGAGGACTTAATCCTAAAATGATTCATTGGAACTACACGGTAATGGTAAGACCTAGAATAGTATACGATTCATTGGTTTGGTGGCCTAAAACAAAACAAAGCGTGACCCAGAAAAAGTTAGAAAAATTTCAACGTTTGGCCTGCATGGCCATAACAGGAGCAATGCACAGCACATCATCAAATGCCATGAAGGCAGCTCTCAATATGCTCCCACTGCATCAATACGTGCAAATGGAAGCTGGAAAGAGTGCACTAAGGCTACGCAGAACAAACGTCTATCTTGAAGGCAAGTTTGGAGTGAATTGTTTACATGTGCAAAATTTCATAACAATCGGTTCAGTGGTTATTGAGATGTCATCGAAACAAGAAGAAAATCGCCGGAGAATTTTACGCGCCGTCATGGAAAATCCGACTGCGACCATAAGATGGATCGGAAGACAACTGGGAATCACCCATACAACTGTGCCTCGGGTGGTAAAATCGTTTAAGGAGTTCCAGACGACCGAGCGGCGGGCTGGAAGTGGAAGAAAATCGAAGACAGCTGACCCTGTGAAGGCCCGGAAGGTGTTGGATTATTTTAAGCGTAATCCGAACCTTTCGATTCGCGACGCGGCTCTGAAGGCAAAGTGTTCCGCCTGGTTCTTTCAGCAAACCATGAAACGAGCTGGGCTTCGTATATTCAAGGTCCGGAAGGCTCCGAATCCCGCGGTGGCCAAATCCCGCGCAAGGAAGCTGTATCGAGAGTGGTTAACGAAACCGATGTGTGTGGTTATGGATGACGAAACCTACATCAAGGCAGACGCAAAGCAGATACCGGGGCTGGAGTTCTACGTTGCCAAATCAAGGTTTGATGTTCCGGAAGACATAAGGAAGAAGAAAGTGGACAAATTCGTCAAAAAAAATACTTGCTCTGGCAGGCCATATGCCAATGCGGTAAACTGAGTAAACCGTACATAACAATGGGTACCATCAACAGCCAAATTTACCGCACCGAGTGCCTCCAGAAGCGTCTGTTGCCCTTCCTGCGGTCCCACGGAGGCGAGACATTATTTTGGCCGGACCTGGCGTCATGCCATTACGCGCGATCGACGTTGAATTGGTACAGAGACAATAACGTTGTTTTTGTACCAAAAACCGCCAACCCCCCAAATTCACCAGAGATTCGTCCGGTGGAAAGATTTTGGGCCATAATGAAGGCCAAAGTTCAAAAATCGTCCAAGGTGTTTAAGAAAGAGCTGGAGTTGAAGAAAGAATGGATGAAAGTGACCAAAAAGGTCGGCTCCACCATTGCACAAAATGTAATGAGGGGTCTTAGGGGAAAGGTGCGGGTTTTCAGCGATGGAAAGGAAATTGAATAAAGTAATTATGCCGAAACATAATCCATATGTATTAGTTCATTCCCTGAAAGTTTCAAGAAAATCCGACTTAAAATAAATTTTTGGCGAACACTTTTGTCTGGTGCATTTTTTTTTCGAGTACAGGCCTTATTTGTCAGGTTTAATATGATATGGTATATCAAAACAGTATGGAATGACTAATAGATGTCGCTAGTAAGACAAAGTTACGACTGTGTGTATAAAGCAAATCAATGAAATTCATACCGATTTCTTGTGGCTAAAACGCTGTCCAGACTGGAGAGTTAT